TTTTCTCTTAAAGTCAGAAACGTATGCTTTTTTGTGTGCATGCTTCAAAATTATTTACATTTGATTATTTCTTAAGAAAATAAAGAGGCACTTATGCTTGCGTGCAATCACCAACCAAAAACACTTAAAAATTCTTGCAGACGACTGACGTAGACAAAATCAAACCCTGTAATGAGCACATATAATCATTTTCGAGCGATGGGTAAAAACAAATGTACATGCATATTGAATGCGAATAACTAGGGAATTCCCCAATTTATAAAGCGCTTTAAATTCGTTATTGACAACAATATTGTTCATATTTTAGAGCTTTTGTCCAAAGTTCATTTTTTAGAGTAGTCAATGGCAGCCAAAAAGTGGTCATATTTTGAGGGGTTCTTAGTTTAGGGTGTTCATATTATCGCGAGTCCACTGTATGTGTTAAATGCATTGGAAGATGGAATCATGTGCAGGAGTTCTCGCAGGTGAAAAAAGTTCTCTGATTGACATTCAGATGGGAGTGACCAGAAATAATTTTTTTTTACATTTGACTTAAGCAGCTCACGATTTCTGGCCTCACATCAAGTATACTCTGGGTAGCCAAAAAACCATCCCTYCTCAGGGTTGTGCGCTAGGTTTGGGGCCATGTAAACAACGAACCCAATCAGCTCGTTGATGTCCTCGTAAAAATAAAGGCTGACATCACCGCAGTCCATGAAGTGCGATTTACGGGACAAGGACTTAAACGAGTAGATCCTTGTGGCATTTCCCATGGTGGCTRGATAAAGGAGCGCAAATTCGGTGTGGGCTACTGCGGCTGATCGACTTCGACGAAATGCGAAACATCGTCATCTGTAGTACCAGATTCCAGCACCAGGCTACCTGGCTGTTTTCGGATCTAAACACCACCAACCAAATTGACCATGTTATGATAGACGGAAGACACGTCTATAGTGTTTTAGACGTGCATACGCTCCGAGGTCATAACATCGTCTCGGACCACTACCTTGTTGCAGCCAACATCCGCACCTGCCTCTATGCAGAAAATAAGCACGCCAACAAAGGCCAAACGTACTTCAACAAACACAATGAAGGTTCGAAGTTGAGTAGCTGCAATAACAACAGACACGCGAAATATTTTCTACTCGGCTTGCACTCCTSCTCTCTGAGAGCACTCATCACCAACTTGATACAAGAGAACTGGGGGACGGCATTACAAACTCATTACGTACCGGCTCCAGCTTTGTCAAAAAAGTCTTGCGGTATTTTCGCTAGTAGGCGCTGAGAGCGCGTAGTTCTARTTTTATTCGTCGCATCGGGTCATGCTATACCTTTTTGAAAAGCTCATTTCATGCGCTAACACGTGTTTGATTGATTGTCGTTTCTTTTAAGCCGCTCGTGAGTTATWCACCCTGCGAAATAAGTATAAAGGCGGATGTTTTTCTTATCATTGCTCTCTTCATTTGCAACCCATAAAATAACATTTTTTTGCAAATGCGTAATTGAATTCTGTGGAAACTTTAGGTAATATCGACAAGTTTTGCTCATCCTTGTGTGTGTATGAAAAATTAAACGCGATTAAAACCGTTAGGAAGTGCGAAATAAGTATAAAGGCATTGTGAAAATTAATATTTTATAAAAATTATACTGACAGTACAAGGAAATACAAGTAGGTATCTCTTATTTTAGTCTATTTTTAATAAATAACACAAGTATTTTATATTT